CCCTCAGGTGTGTATGTCCTGGAAGCCCCAAGTCCTGGGAGTTCACGCCCATGGAACAACCTTGGTTGACGGGAGAATGGAGGCGAGTGGATAATTTTGAGGTGCAGCACCTGAGAATTTTCAGACAGTCCCTGCAGGATCAAGCCCAGTTGACCACAGGGATGACCAACAAGGAAATGTGTCTTTACAATAGCTTTCCTACCTCCCATTTCTACTGCCCCAGTCCCCCTCTCCTGTTCCTGATGTCACTTCCAAAGCTATGCTAACTGCACGCAAGCTCCTGTCTCCAGCTCCTGCTTTGGGAGAGGGCACAGGGACCTATGCTGGTTTTCAAAGTAAACTGATTAATATACATCTGGGAAGGTCAATATTCCATATAATGTATCTCCAACTCAAATGACAACTATTTCCTGATTCTTCCATGACAGAAGGAATACTGTGATGGTGGAAAACGCCCTGAAAAAGCAGGTGTGGGTTTCAGTTTAGCCACTAATTAGTTACATGACCCAAGCTACACCATTTAACCTTTTGGAGCTCAGTACCTGATCTATAAAATAAAGGAGATGATTTGGATTACATCATGTCCACAATTGTATATTTGTGAAATAAAAGCATCTGGGTGACGGTTTGTAGCGGCTGCCATTCCCCTCATTAACCCTACGGATTGTTTTGTCTAAAAAATATGGCAACACTTTAATGCAACTTTAGACAAGCAAGTGAATCAGCCTCCGGAAGGCCTAGATTAGGGAATGAGTAGCTATTTGGAACCTCAGAAGACAATAATGCTGACAAAAAGAGAACAAGCTGGCTTCTTTGGGAGTCAGCAAACAGCAGGGGCTGCAGCATTAAGATAAGAACAGAGTAATGAGAAAACGAGTTGCAACCAACTTCCTTGGCTGCGTCCCAGCGGTCACTCAGTGATTCAACACATCCCTAACAGGCCTTGACAAATGGACTCCAACTGGGGAGATTTTTTTCCTCCTTAGAAGTTACTTGGGAACTTGGCTTGGGAAAATGCTTTGACTTTGAGAAAAATAACACAAAATCCTACAAGTGTCAGGAAGAGGAAATAAAAACATTGAAGGGGTATAGGGCTCCATGAATCCAAATCAAGGAACATCATTCCAGAAAAGGATGGAAGATCAGGATAGCTTAGTCAATCATGAGGGCCACAAAACATGAAAAATAAATTGGCTATAAAGCAATGAGGTTGCAGATGTTGCCATTTATAAGACATACAAGGCATTTACGAGATGTAATAAGATACATAACATAGGTATTGTTATCTCCATTTTACACATGAAGAAAAGAGGCTCAGAGAGGTGAATAATTTGTCTGATGACACAGAGCCAGGTGGTGGCAGAGCTGGAATTTTTGTTTTTAAAATATATATTAAAAATTAATTAAATTTATATTTATCAAGGTAATACATGCACATAGTTAACAAATCAAACAATACTGAAAAGCACATAATGAAACAAAACAGTGTTTTCCATATTGCTGCCTTTTGTTCTTTGAGTGTATTTCCCAGTACTTTCATTTCATGTTTTATTTTGGCCATAATATTCTTAATTTCAAGAGCTTTTTCTTCTTCTATGGTCGCTCCTATTATTTTTTAAAGCATCCTGTTCTTGTTTCATGGATGTAATATCTTAGCTGTCTAAGGATATCAACAATGGTTTTTGGGTTTTGTTTTCTTCTCCCTGTTTGCTCTGAATATAATTTTTTCCTATTTTCTTTGGCTTCTGTATTTCATATGGGAGGTCTTCGCAAAATTTTCTGTGATTCTCAGTATCTGTTTGCATATAATAGTAAGGCATTAAAACACTGAGCAGGAGTTGTATGTGTGCATCCCACACACACATTACACAGGATGTATTTATACTAAAAATTATTCATTGTTTATATGAAATTCAAATTTAACTGGGCTTCTTTTATGTCCATTTGCTAAATCTGACAACCCTGGGTATATGGCTTATGAACTCCTAGCTTCTGGGTGACTGGGCTAGGTTTTCAATCCAGAGATTTGTTCCATTTCACTTCATTCCCTCTTCTGAGCTCTGTCTCTCCTTCCCACCTTGTATTTTCCTCAGTCCAGAGTCTGCTCTTTCATTTCTCCAGGGAATAAACCTTTAGCTGTCTCCAGGGGTAGAGGAAAGAAGCTAACTGACCACTTTGGGAGAGCATTTTGTGGGCTCTGCATGTTCTGTAGACTGGCTTGCTATCGATCTCCTTATCTTCCTTAAGCTTTGAGAGTCACATCCCCTTTTCATGGCACGTTTTGTCTCTGGGCTCCAAACAAGGTCTTACAGGGCAAAGTATCTTGCTTCTCAGAGCTATTCTCTGTAGGTCCTACTTTTCACTTCTACTCTGCTATATCAGTTACCATTTGTTGGTCAGTCTTCGATTCTCCACTAATGTATTGACATCTCTTCTCAGTTGTGGTGTGACCTCTCTCTTTCTCCTTGCAGATTTATGCCTTTATTTTTCTTTTAAATTTATTTGGTATCCTTTCAGTGGAGTTTCAGGAGAGAGAGGACACAGACACATGGGCTCAATCTACCAGGTTTAACTAGAATGCCAGAATGCAATTTAAATCCAGACCGACATACCTCCAAAGCTTTCACTCCTTCCACAATACCATTTACTAAGTCATTCAGTGGAATCCAACAATAAATACCTATGGCATAGATTGTTAGTTGTCTAATCTAATATCCCTCCTTCCTTTATTAATAATAGAACCCCTACTTTTTTAGCAGGGCACATGGCTACCCAGAATAAAGACTTCCTTTCCCAACCTTCCTTCAACCTAGGTATAGCCAAATCACTAAATTCTGTCCAATGAAATGTAAGTGGAAGAGTTATGTGGAGCTTCCAGAAAATTCTCTTAAAAGATAACCTGCATCTAGGAATGTCTTCCCGTTGCCTTCATATAGAAACGATAACTTGGGATGTTCACATTTGTATAAAACAAAGGATAAAGGAGTTTAAAGATAATGAAAACTGTTAGGGCATAGAAATTGAAATAGGGAACAACATTTTTATCAGAATTTAAGCTATAACAAAATATAAAACAGTGTAGGATGTAGCATTTAAGAAGCTTTATGTGGTAAATAACATGGCATTCATCTGTAAAATGTTCAATATGTTGATGTGAGTGGTAGTTTTACTGATGTATACATAGTTTTTAAGCACATTCTAAGTACTTAATAAAAGTAATTCTTAAATCAAATACCAAAAAAAAAAAAAAAAGATAACCTGCATCACATTTTGGCCCCTTTTTTTCCTTGCCCCTTCTTTCTTTCTGCTAGCTGAAATGTGGACATTATGGTTGGAGCTTGAGCAGTTATTTTGGACTATGGTAGAAACCACATGCTGAAGGTGGCAGCTCAGAAAGACAAAAGGAGCCCTGGGTCCGTGAGGAGTTAATGTAGCTACTCTACTATCTCCACATTGTGGATCTCCAAATTTCTTTTATGTGATAGAGAAGTAAGCCACTGCTATTTTGGGGTTTCTCTCCCTTACAATGGAATCTAATTCGAACTGACAGAATGCCAAAGTGCAGTAAGATTTCAATGAGAGTGGAACAGTCTTCCTAGAAAAGGTGATGGAGGAGATGGACCTTAAAGGAAAGTTCAGCCAGGTGGGGAAGGGCAGGGACAGGGTCTCATGCAGAAACAGCGTAATTAGGGCACAGGGGCACCTCATGAGGTGTTTTCAAAGGGCAATCCGTAGACCAGGCTGTAGTGGCCAAATCATGTGGGAGAGGAGTGGAAGATAAGAAGGAAAAAAGGCTGGGGGCAGATCATGGAGGGCTCTGGAACTTGAACCAAGTTTGAAGCAATGAAGCCACTGAAGGTTTTTGAGATGGAAGTTGGAGATACATGATTAGAATGTGAGGGAGGGTTAGGCTGAAGAATTCCAGAGTCTTCTACACACCTATATAAGGTTATATGGAGATGAGGCTAAGGGAACAAATCTGAATAGAGAGAGAAGAACATGGGCTCAAGAACTCATTCGTGGGAACAAGGAGAAAAGAAACCTACAAAGAACCCAGAAAAGGAAGGAGAAAAGCAGCCAGATGTTGGGGAAGAGAAGAGGGTAGAAAATGATCGTGAGAAGTCCGTAAACCTTTAGAGGTCTCAACAAAGCTAGACAATATCAGAAATGAGTAAAGGACATTGAATTTGAGGACAAGGAAGTCTCTAGTGACCTCTGAAAGAACAATTTTGGTTGAATGTGAAAGGGCACGTTGGTCTTCGAAGTGTAAATACGTGTTAGGAAAATAAAGGTAGTAATGTGTTCCATTCATTTTAAAAGGTAGGCAGTAAAAGAAAGGTAAATTGAAAAGCAATTAAAGATCTCCATGGGATCAAGTGAAAGAATTTTTTAAGGAAGGGAAATGGGTCTTTAAGAGGAAACTCTGCCTATTGGTGAAGGAAGAGACTTCCAGGCTGCTAAAATAGGTGATACCTGATGGAGCAGGTCTCAGAGGAAATAAGAGCAATGGAATTTCCAGCTCAGATGGCAGCTTGAACTTTGGAGAAAAGGAGGACAGCTCTTCTGAGAAAGAGAACTAGAGGAGAAGCAAGAAAGGAAGACTTGGATTTCAAGTCAACCTTTCAGCAACAAATCTTTCATTAGCATCATCAGCACCATTATGGATCTGACCAGAAATAATAGTCCAAAGTAGCAATCTTTGCCAGTCTCTAAAATAAAAATGGCCATCGCTTAGCTTCAGAGTCAAAATCTCACACAAAACTCATAAAATAGAAGAAAGCTATAAATCTCACGTGGTAGCCCTGATTTTCTTGTCTTACAGATACCACCTTGATGAAGTTCATTTAGATGAGGGGAAAACAACAACAGAAAGTTTAGCTCATTTACACATTGATACCAGTGTTAGAAAAGCAAGCAACCCCCAATATGGACCTGAAAATTAATCACAGGATGAAATTTTCAATATCCATTTGTCAAATAGATCAAATGCCAATACCTACTCAAAGTACAGCGTGAGGTCTGTTGCTAATATTGACTGCTTCAAAAGCTGCATAAGGTCACTATATTCCTTGGAGGACAAATTAGCAAAGATGTTGTGACCCTGCAATGAGAAAGTAAAAAGTCACAAAAGACAACACTAAATCTGAGGTTGTTGATTACATGTGTTTCCTATATTAAAAAAAAGTATGGGTACATGATAAAATCATTTAAGACAATTTAATGACATTTCGTGCAAGTACAAACAGATTCTCTGGCAGACAGAGCAAAGCCGGAAAGTGCAATCATTTTCGAGGACTACCAAGGGGCACTTTGTTATTCTTTATTAGACTTTATTAGTCCTAAATAGAAAACTCCGAAAATCTTTAAACTTACTGTGGATATGTTTGTGCCGACAACTTCATTTGACTGCCACTTCCCGTGGAATTTACTGAGTGTAGAAGTTGACAAAACATTTGGGAATCTTTCTGACCCTAAAATGAACACTAGTTTCTCTAATAAAGACTTAAGTTGGCATTTTGGAAGCACCGGCTATGGCAACAAAGGACTTCAAGAAGAAGGAAAAAAACCTTAGACCAGTGGTTCTCAGCTGAGGGTGATTTTGGCAATGGGGACTTCCGGCAATGCTTAGAGACACTTTTGATTGTCACACTGACTGGGTGTGTTGTTGGTGGGTAGAGGCCTGGGATGCTGCTAAATCTCTCACAATGTACAGGAGAGACCCCACGACAAAGATTTACCTGGCCCTGCATGGCAACACGGCCGAGTTTGAGAATCCCTGTGTGAAATTGTGAAGATACATCCCAATGAAGCGTGTGGTAGTTTAAGCTCAGTATGTAATTACTGAGTGGCTAGAATGTATAAGATGTGGTTCTTGGCGTAGTTCTTGGGACTGGTAAGATGACTTTTACCTAGGAAAACTTGCACCTGTATCTCCATACCTTTGGAAAGCATACTTCTTTTCATCAAAATTTGTTTTAGCTCCATTAGATAGTTCTGCAATGTTTTTATAAAGTGAAAAAAAAATCCTTGTGTAAAGTGACCGACAATTCACTTAATCTCTTTTGAAAGTCAGGGACTTTTTCATTGATCAGGTTTTCTTAGCATGAATTATGAACTCATAAACACGAGGCCTGGGAACCAGAGGAGTTTTAAACCCGGTGTTGAGAGCCAGAAGGTGCTGCTGAAGGAGGGGGCAGAATGACTGCCTGAGAATAAACTATTCTCTACCAAGAGGTAAATTAATTCTTTCAGGGGACCAGAATATCAATTAGCAAATTAGTTCTTACCAGGCGCCAGATGATAATCTCCTTCCCTGGGTTAATTTATCTCATTGGGTGAACCCTCTGCTCCTTAAAGACTAGAGTATATTGGTTTCACCTGGGCCCAGGTCCAATATTAATAATAATTTTCAAATGAACTCTTCCAGACCCTTAATTCAGCCATTAGGAAGAAGACAAATAACTAAAGGTAGGCCATGCCATAATTCTGCACGGGTTTCTTTGCCTGAGCCTTGCCCCATGGATCAATCATGGGCTGCTGTGCTGGGGGCCTGGGAGAAAGTGGGTGGAAGCCGTGGAAAAGTCGTCACCCAGATCCAGACCCATGTGTCTAGCATCTCCTGGTGAAAGAAATATAGCATTTAGGAGTAAGTTACAGTAAAAACTGTGGAGTTCAGGAGACAGTAGGTCTGAATTTGAGGATTTTTTTTTTTAAAGATTTTTTGTTTATTCATTTGAGAGAGAGAGAGAGCAAGAGCATGAGCAGGGGGAAGGGGCAGAGAGAGAAGCAGGCTCCCTGCTCAGCAGGAAGCCCGATGCAGGACTTGATCCCAGGACGCTGGGATCATGACCTGAGCCGACCTGAGGACACTTAACCCACTGAGCCACCCAGGCGCCCTGAGGATCTTGACCATTTCGTGAGACAGCATGCTTTACCAATTTTAAAGGACATAGAGTAACTGACACAATTTACACCTAACAGAGTGATAAAGATAAGCTTTAATAAAAAGAATAGCTAATTTGCAGAGTATTGCTTCTAGGCAAATTGACCTTCTACAGTGCCTCAAGGGTTTGGTCCCTGAAACAGATCTGCCTCCCTGAAATACTGCTTCTACTCCTTGTTTAGGGAGCAAAGAAAACCAAATGTGGAGGGAGCAAGGTCTGGAGCGACTTTTTGCCCTGCTGCTGCCTCATTTGAAAAGCGGGGTGATAATGACATCTGCATGTTTGCCTTTCTGAGGGGCAGGGTGGGAGCGGATGTGGGGGGAGTGCCAGGCCCCAACCCACACACCAGTTGCTCAGGGCACAGTTCCGTTATTATTGTTCTTCATAGAGAACCCTGGAGTGAAGACCAGCCAATGTGGTTTGTTTGTATGAAGCCAAATTCTGAGTTAGTGGGGTTTGTTTTTCCCAGGAAACAAATGACCCCCTGAGAAAACCCTAACACCCTGTTTCTAATCCCTGTCGTTCTGAAGGGGGGAGTTCCTGGGGTCAGAGGTACAGAAAACAGTCTGCACCCAAGCTCCTCACCCTCCCTTCTACCCTCTTTCTTCCACAGCGCTCAGCTGAAACATGACTTACATAGGAAAATTCCAGAGCCGCAGATGCTGGGATGCTGGTTTCTGTCAGAGTTGCTGAGAGCCTAACCCTTGATGTTTCATTCCCAACTGAAAATACATCTCCCCCAGCGGTTTTGCCCTTCCCCAGCCGCACTGGGTTCCGGAGTGCTGACTCTCCTTTATGGGGTCGAAGAAGGCTTTCGTGATACTGCAAAAGGCATGCTTTCTCAAGATAGGCTGGAGGAAAAAAAACCTCCATATTTAATGATGCTATTCCAGTGAAGCAGGGCCTTAATGATGATAATAATAATAATTAATGGCACAGCTAGAGAACTGACAAATAATGGGGAACAGATGATCCCTTTTTGGCCTAAAAAAAAAAAAAAGTCTGTATGCCTGCAGAAAATTAAACAGATCCTTTCCTGGCAATTTAAAACTCAGAGGCCTCAGCCAGAGTCAGTTAGTGGTTTTTCGTTTTCTCCGTGGAGAGCTCAAAGTACAAAAGCCCAACTATTTTCAACTCCTGCACTGCCACGTGAAACAAAATAAGGCATATGGCTTTAGCCCTGGGTCTCAAGTTTAGCTGCAATTCTCACTTTCAGACTGCTCCCACCAGCAATTTTGGGTTCTTTTATCTTTTATAGCTTTCTCAATTGTGCTAATAAAGTGTAACTTTCTCGCCCTGTTTCCACTTCTACTGTCTTTTAAAATGGCTTTGGATTTCGCGAAATGGGAACGTTGGGCCACTCACTACTTGGACCAAGTCACTCTGTCGGTGGGCTTCTGTATTCCTTCAGGAAGGTAAGACTGTGCTTTGGTGACAAGCTATATAAGCAGTCTCCTCTGCTAAGTGGACCTGAAAAGTCTTCTTACCAATAATGAGACCCAAATGAAATCCGCTCAGGAAGAATTTGAATAAGGTTCTTAATCAGGCATCTGAAAGAATTTTAAAAAGCCACCAAGAAAAACAATCTTTTGGCCTAAAAAAAAAAAAAAATGTGTCCCTCTTCTCTGTATCTACCTGTGGCACTACAAAGAAAGAGGTAGCAAACATTGTTTTATTGGTTTTCTGTCAAGGGGAGAAGCAGAATATTAGGTCTGTACCTCACTTTGAAGGATCATCACAGCATGGTTAAAATGGTGATGCTCCAAGGTAGCGGAAGTTCCGTAGAGCTGGGCCAGGGCAGAGCCGCTCCTGAAAGAGGACAGAAGGGTGAGTGACCCAGGCCTTCCACCTGCCAGCGATTCTCCCACACCAGCTCTTTGGATCAAACTGCTTTCCCTGCTTTGGCAAAGGAACGTGAGCATCTACATTCTCAGGAAACTGTGTAGTTCACTCATCCATGAAGGAAATATTTCGAAAAACTTCTATGTGTTAGGCTAGGGCCGGTGGATGATACAACAATAAATGAGACAGAGTCCATGTTGCTAAGAAATTTACAGACTAGTAAGGAAGATGAGATGTGGTCACAAGGGAAAATAATGCACATAACCCAGATACCCAGATACCATAGAAATTGTTCCAGGTCCAAGCAAAGTGCTGTGGGTGATCTGAGGACAAAAGACATAATTTCTAGCTCAGGGGATCAGGGTACGCTTCATGAACTAAACCTTATGTAGCTTCTGAGCGCCCAGAACAACTCACTCTCTTATACTAAATGTATTTGACACTCCATGGGAAAGCCCTTGGAAATATTAGGCAGAGCCCATTTAACTGCTACATGTACGGCCGACAAGCTCCTACTATGGTTTCCCAGCCCACAGCCCCATTATATCTCAGGGTAGAACTCTGGTAAGTTCCCTGGATTTGGAGTCAGACCCCGGCTCTTGGTAATAGCTCTGGACAATTACTTGGGTGCTTTAAGATTCAGCTTCTTTGTCTCTAAAGTTATGATAATGCTACCTACCTCCTATTATTTATGAAAATAAAATATTTGAAAGTGCCTGTCATAATGCATGACACGTAGCAGACTGCAGTCTAGTAAATCAATTAAAACCCATATATATTTCCATCTGCGAAAAGAAAATGCTAATTGAGGGGCGACTGGGTGGCTCAGTCATTTAGGTGTCTGCCTTCCGCTCAGGTCATGATCCCAGAGTCCTGGGATAGAGCCCTGCGTCGGGTTCCCAGCGGGAAACCTGCTTCTCCCTCTCCCACTCCCCCTGCTTGTGTTCCCTCTCTCGCTGTGTCTCTCTCTGCCAAATAAATAAATAAAATCTAAAAAAAAAAAAAAAAAGAAAATGTTAATTGATACTTGAAAAAATCATTTTGAAATATCTGTAAATTTTGCTCATGTAGAACAACTTAATTCTCAACAATATCAGTTCAGCAAAGTGTTTGTTGGAAATGTTCAAGTGTGTTCATTTCCAGCTCATGTGGATTAGGAATTAGAGCATCTTAAGAGCCAAGAGAGATCCAGAGAATCCTATAGTTTAAAGGGCAGTCCTGGGACTCTGACTAATGACCCATCCAGGTCCTTGTATTCTTTCCTGCTCATTCCAGGGAGTTTGGACGTTGAAAGGGCAATTTAGCTTTTACTTGGAAATGCCAGAGGTTGACAGCTCACAGTCTGCCCTGCTAATGAGAGGAGCAAGAACTGCATTTATGTGCGATGTGAAGGATTTTGGTCATGAGCTGCCCTCCATCCCCAAGATCCCCAGCCAGATCAGGAGCCCAGGGACCTGTGATGCTTGGAAAGACTCAGAACTCACCACCTGTTGGGAGAAGCACAGGGTCCATAGGGATTATTATGAATAGAGTTGGTAAGGAGGGAACTAGATTTTAATCGGGTATGTGTTATTTCTTTAAATCTTACCTTAATCTATACCATTTAGTAAGTGAAAATTTGTTAGGCTACTCTTAGTAATCAATGATTAATTAATATTTAATTTTAGTTACAATTTTCTATCAGCTCATTTTTATGAAAATACATTTTTCAAAGTGTACACTGTATGTCTTTGGTTTGGTTTTTGAAATTCTAGGATGTGTTATATGCATGTCACATCCAATTGCCTGGCATGGAACAGGTGCTTAAAAAATATTAGCTGCTTGGCTAATAAGCTTACAGTGGTATGGCTAGAGATTATAGTTGGAATTGGAAAGTTGACAGTAATAAGCGTGTTAGCATATTTTGTGATAATGTCTTTAACAATGATAGCTATCATGAATACTTACCTATCATACACTAGGCAATATATTAACAACTTACTATATTATTTCATCTAGTCCTGACAACAACCACAAAAGAGGTGTTATTTTTCTCATTTGACAGATGAGGAAACCGAGGCTCAGAAGAGTTACGCAGCTTTCCCAAGATCTCACAGCTGGCAGGTACCAGTGCTGGACTGGAACCCAAGCTTGTAACTTTCTTCTCATTGCATCATGAGAAAGATAACTTTCTCATTTCTGCTACGGAGTCTCCATTTTTGCCAAGCTGGTTGTCATCAGTGAAAGAAGATTTCAAAATGTAATGCAGAATTTTACTTGTATAACTGCTAACCACAGGCTCAGATTCCTGTGACTTATTTCTATTCACCAGCCATGCCCAGTTGCACCTCACTTAGTGGTGTGAATCCTGATAACAGAGCTCAGGTCACAATGCAAAATATTCTCTCTTCCTTTATCATGTTGGTTTAGCAGACCTCACAAAAGTTAAACCAGCTAGATGATCACAAATTATATTTTCTTCTTTCAGGATGAGTAGGATGTTCCCTCCCTTAACCAGGGGACACCTTATAACGAATACTCTGGTGCCTCCTACATCGCTCCTCTCCCCCTTCCCCAGATCCACAGGGCTTCTGAGTGCTGCGTTCCGTCACAAGTCCTCTCGGGTGTTCCTGCAAATGCAGCCATGTGACTGTCCCCCATCTGAGCATCTTCAACAGCAGGCTCTCTCTTTGTTCCCTTTGTAATTCCATCTTATATTCTCCCGACTCTCACACAATACTGAGTTCATCACAAAAATATGTAGATTTTGCAACTGAAGCAGAGTAAGGCTACAAAAGTGCAAGAAGACATTGTGATTCATTCATTCATTCATTCATTCATTCATCTATCATTAATTCACCCAATAAGGATTGATGACTTTCACAAAGCCAGGCTGCAGGCATGTGGAATACAAAGATAAATAAGACTTGCCTCTTGCCCTCAGGAAGCTCACAGTCCCCTATAATTTTGTAGGAGACATTCTCTGATTAGACTTGCACTAATAACGCTCACCTTTCTGCAAACAAGGTGCTGTCTTAGCGCTCACAGAATAGAGTGTGAGACTAAACCTACTTCGGTTTTCTAGAGTAAAATCATATAAGCAAGAATGCTTCCATTTCCATATGGATCCTTTGTTTACACTGTTAGATTTGGTCGTTGTCAGTTTTTCTAAGACTGCAAAACCCCTTGGTGCTTTTTCTCTCCGGCCAAGTCTCACTGAGGATGTTGCCTATACCTGCCACTGTCATGCTACGAACCTCCTAGGGCCACAGGAGTGAAGACATTAAACTTGATGTAACTGGCAAAAAATAAAATGTGTCTGTTAGGATATACTTTATCAAAAAGTAGTCTGCAGAATATTAGTTCTTTGAAATATTAAATGGCATGTGGGCAGAAATGAAAAAGTCCCATGGTCAAAATGCTGGGTTTAAAAAGTTAAGCTGTTTTTTTTACTGTAGGTTTTCCCAATGGTATCGATATGTAAAAATACATTGTGATTTGGCAGGCGAGGAATGTAATATGCAGTATTAATCAATTTTACTTTATCATAAAACCATTTTTTAAAAGAGGCCATGTCTTTCATGTAATATATTTTGTGTAAAGGTATACTTCCAGTTTTTCATGTAAAATATGAAAAAGATACCCAAATCAATTTCATATGGAAAAAATGAACTTTAACACCCGCCTTCATCTTAATTGTCTGCGGTAAGTATATCCATCATATAAGAGCTTTGGGGCACACACAGAGTAGTTACGAAAATATTACATACCCAAATGTGGAGCTATGTATAGCTCCACATTGTGGATATCCATATTATATATCCAAATGCCAAAAGCACAGGAATATTTATACATGTGATTATTCATGATGCTCATTATTGATTAGGTCATCCCAACATACTAAAGTTTTTCATTTTTGGATAGGCGACACACCAAGGAGACACTTATTAAAAAGAAATGTTGAAGTGAAAATTCTTTCCCTACAGGCATTCAGCACTTTGCACAGGGAGCAAAAATAAATAAATAAACAAACAAACAAACAAACAAACATGCAAAACATGCATAAGTTTGCTAGGTGTGCATAAAGAGAGATGTAATGGAAGTGCGTGGCCGTGGCTTGTGGGAAAGTTTTAAAAGGAAAACTATGAAAGGTAATTAGGAGATTGAGAATTGCTGGGAGGTGGTGAGGAATGGGATCAGGCTGTCACGGCAGATTAATGTGCACCAGGATTTCACTTCTGGGACCTGGCCGAAAGCGACAAGATGGGTTTTCATTCCCAATAAATGAGTATAGGAGATTATGCTAGAAATGAATAGAAGAAGTCTCCTAGGAGAATATACTACAAAGCTGCTTGGTACTGATATTCAATCATCGGGGGCAGCTGTAATGGAGAGGGAGATGAGTGGGCAACGCGGTCCCTGGAGAAAACAGGAGAGAGGTGTTCACAGAGTACTTGCCAAGCATGGTGGGATAGCAGCCCTCTCTGCCTATTGATCACTCACTGCACGTGCTCCAATACTCAAAAATTAAGAATAAAATATGAAAATGCATAGGTTCACTCATCAGAAAGGCTAAGAGAATAAATCATATTGTGCTATAACTAAAGTCACAACTTTTTATTGTAGAGGCATTTTGCATTTTATATAGTAATTTGTCCCTTGCTAAATGTCTCCTGTTTCTTTATAGCCTTATATATGAATAAAAGGTACTGTATGCTTTGCCACATAATAATTGGTGCATTTAAATCCCATTTCCGAATCACTTGAAAGGTTGGAATTATACTGTGAATACTTTAAGGGAAGGGACTGTTTGTTATACTTCTTTATTTCTCCCACAATGCCTAGCACAGAGCCTTGCACAATAAAGCACTCAATTATTGTGGAATAACAAAGGAAATGAGGATTAGATTTCTTCTTAGGGTTTTCCAAACAATGGCACACTTACTGAATAAGTCTTATTCTAATCAATAAAAAGGTAATCCCTTCCCCATGATGTAAAAGGTCTCTTCCAGTATTCACTGTTGAAGGAAATTTTAACTGAGGTTGGGTTCAAAAGTGACTCTTAGGTAGAAGCAGGGCTGATGGACATCCCATGAGCTGGTAAATTGTGTACAAGTTTAATCGTCTCGAGGAAACATGTCAGACTATCTTGGAACGGGTAGATTTGATCATGTGGTATGAGGATGCCAAAAAAAAAATTGAATTCTAATATCATCAACTTAATACCTATCTCACATATTGAAAGTTGTTTAATCTTACACCAGTCGCTTGAGATTGGGAAACTTAGTTTCCATTTTTGTAAAATTAAGGTGTTGAGAAAAGATATGACTACCAAGGTTTAGTTCAGTTCTATGATTTTTTATGGCTCTGCGTCTTGATTTGCTGGAAGTCAAAATATATTTTAGTTTTCCAGAGCTCACATATATGGCAAGGCAGCCAATAAACTGGAAGCTCAAAGGCCCCAAATAAATATTACAAAGTCATGAAAGAGAGTATGATGCAGTGGTTAAAGAGTGGCTTTTGGAATCAGATAGCCCAGTCCAAATGCCATTCTGCCACGTTCTGGATGTATGAATTTGGGCAAGTTAATTACTTTCCTGAGGCTCAGGCCCTCCCTCTTAAATGGAGACAAAAAATATCTGCCCTATAGGTATGTTGGTGAGCACCGGAGGTAGGAAACAACACATTGTAGTTCTTCTCTTGGTCTCAGGGACCGTTAGTTGCAAAGAAGAGAAATCTATTAGAAGCAGCTTCGCTAAAGAGAAGGTTGATTAAAAGATAAAATGAACTCTGACAGAGCCCAATCATCACAAGTGTGGCTGGGTCTCCTGGAAAGGGAGGAGAGATGTGGAAAGCACGGATCAAGTCTGCTTTTTCTCTGTCTTTCTCTAGGGTTGTACAATCTCTTTCTGTTTCTCTCTGAATATCTACTTCTTCTCTTCTCTCTGCAGATTCCCTTTCTTGTCTCTCTTATCTACTTGATGTGGTCATCATGGCTTTCCCAGAATGGCAGCCTACAGCTCCCAAGTCTCTGTGGATCTGCAGCTTGGATCTCAACATCTAACTGAGTCAATATCATGGTAATCCAACTCCAAATTCCTAGCAGATAAAATACGATTAGCTGGGTTTTAATTATAGGTGTGTATTCTCAGTCCAAAATGCTGAGAGGTCAACTGGCAAGAAGGGCTGCCATTCTCAGTGTGATACACAGGCTTTCTCTGGGAGGGGACATTGGTATCTAAGCACAAGCATTGTGCCCTTGATTCTTAAAAAGAACCCCCAAGGTGCTCAGTCTTGTTTTATGAATATAATTCTAATACATTTATTTCTTCTCTATGTGTAAGTGGCGGAATGGTAGGGGGCTGGAGAGAGGGTGCTAAAGGAAGATACACTGATAATGATGCCATTGACCTGAGAGAGAGAGGCATCCTAAAAAATAATGAAATGCAGACACAGGAACTCAAACATAAGGAACTGTCAGACTCTGTAATGAAAGTATACTCAGTTTACACTTCAGTAGGCCCCAGGGACACTATTGTCTTAAGTGCAACATCAAACCTATGTGTATAAATACTATGTTTTATAATAATCTATAAAAGATTACACTTAACAAATCAGGAAACTTTATTGAAAAGCTATATTAAAGTTTTTGAATTAGTTAAAATAAAATCTCATCCATTTATCCATTCATCATTCATTCATTCACTCGTCAAACATTCCTTGTGTGTTTCTTATGCTCTTGGTACTTGTTACGCATTACAAGTACTCAAGAAGAAGCAAAGACAGCGGGAAATCAGCAATTAAAATGTAGTGAGATGCATACTTTTGAAAAAGCAGAAGGCATTATGTGGGCACAGAAAATTGCAAAGGAGGGTGCCTGGGTGGCTCAGTTGGTTAAGCAACTGCCTTCGGCTCAGGTCATGATCCTGGAGTCCTGGGATCGAGTCCCACATCAGGCTCCCGGCTCAGCGGGGAGCCTGCTTCTCCCTCTGACCTTCTCCCCTCTCATGCTGTTTCTCTCTCTCTCTCTCTCTCTCAAATAAATAAATAAAATCTTAAAAAAAAAAAAAAAGAAAATTGCAAAGGGGATGGTACGTCAGGGATAAAGCCCAGAGGGTGATGCTTTCAGAGGCGTTTTGGGGAAAGGAGAAGAAGGGCATTCCAGGCAAGGCAGGCAGCATACCGGGGATCAGAGAGAGGTGACTAACTGGACCCCCCTTGAGCACTCCAAATAGCCCCTGTGTCTGGAACACTGATGTGCTGATGGGGGTGGGGGTGGAAGGAGTGGGTGCTCGGCCAGGAAAATGGGCAGGAGCCTGACTGAAAAGGACCTTCAGAGGCTAACCTAAGCAATTTGAACATTATCCTGAAAGTCACAGGAGGCCAGTGAATGTCTTTTAAGCAGGAGAGTGATCTCGTCAGAGTATTTGTGAATTATAAAGATTATTCTGGAGTGCCAGGGAGGGGGAAAACCGGAGGAGGGAAGTTGGGCTGCTTGTTGTAGCAATCCAGGACAGATGCGAAGAAGCAGCAGTTAGAGTAAGGATGCAGAGATTTAGACTTTGAGGGGTGCTAGGGAGAAGATCTGGGTGCCTTGTGGATTTCTGGTGCTGCCATTCACTGGGATAGAGGAAAAGGGAGAGGGAAAGACTGATTCTGAGGAGAGTGGGGGACTCCAGCAAGAGTCAGAAGGAGGGAGTGGCAAAACGTGCCTGAGGGCAAGAAGGGCCAAGAGCGAAGCTTTGGGAAAAGGGGTCCCTGGGGGTCTCCCCTGGTAAGGCGGCCCTGGAAGCCAGGTGGAAGGCAGGGGCTGAGGAAGTGAAGACAATGAACAGACAACTGTCCAAGAAGACTGAATGGGAAGGAAAGAAGGGAAGAGGACGGAAGCCGGAGGGAGAAGTGGGGATCGAGGTGGGCTTCTTCAAAATGGGGGAGAATCGTTCACATTAACAGGATGCTGAGCACTAGTAGGAAAGGGTAGGAGACACGAGGCAGAGAGAGGAAGATTGATGGAGTGGGGTCCCGCAGGAGGGGGCAAGGAAGGCACCCAAAGCTGAGGTGGAGGGATTAGCCTCAGATAGGAGGCAGCACAGCCCTTTGGCTGAGATAGGAGGGAAGGATGAAAGGGTGCGGCCAGACAGATAAGTTTCTACATGGCAGGGGAGGAAATTGAGGGAGTGCTCAATTGATGGCCTCAATTTTCTCGGTGAAGGAGGAGGCAAGGTGATCTGCTGAGTGGTGCGGGGGTGGTGGTAGACAGGAGGTGGTTTAGGAAGGGAGAACAGTTTGGTACATATAACTGCTAAGAGCAATGGGGGATGGAACTGGCTGGGGACACAGAAAGATCAGCGGGGAGTACAGAGCCGCCGGCTGAGTTGGGACAATATATATCTGGTATGTCTCAGACTCTCGCAACCGTGACATTTTCTCCCAAAGCCTTTAAAAATCTAGGTAAAGTAGCAAGAAATTGAATTGTTTGATTGAACTGGGGCTGAGTTTTGGCAGAGTAGATGTCACAGAAGGTTAAGAGGGTCAAGAAATCATAGGATATTGAGTAGAGAGGGTTGAAGTGATAGGCTATAATAAGATCCAGGATGCAGAGAGAAGTGAGTAAGATAAAAATTCATTTGCTCGATCAGGAGTAAATGCAAGGTGCCAGGACTCAAAGGCCTCACTCAATAGGTAGATGTTCCAGGAACAAAGTGAGTGGGGCGCTGTTGACGTTCAGACTGTGGAGGCAGACCTGTTCAGGGGCTTCGAAGTCAGTCACCTGACAGTTATCTTACTTCTTTGTTGAAGCCTTCTTTAACTTCTCCATCCCCAAACTTTTTGCTCCAGAGTCTGAACTAACATATCATTTTGTTTGCAAACAGAGAGTAAAAAGAACATTGAAACTGGACCCTCAATCTAAGTTGGGAGATTGGGGTTTTGGTCTTATTTCCAGCACCCATACATTCTACGGCCTTGGCCACAGTGTGAGACACCAAGCAATGGTTATCTTGGCCAGTCCAACTTGCTTCGGGGCAGATTATTTTGTCTGCGCACACTATGTGCCCGCACATCCCCGGTCCTGGTGCGATCCTTTGTTTCCCGCCTTTCTGTGGGAGGACGGATGAGAGCAGCAGAGACCCTATTCCTCACGTTGCTTTACTGTTACTGCAGCTTATACAAACCCACCATTAAAAAGCCTGCGAGAGATTCTGTTGGGTGAAGAAAGATATTTTGCTTCATAACATTTCCCAAGACCACTTTTATTTTAATAGTCTCCAAACCCGACTTTGAGAGTAGCAAGTCCAAGATGCTTATAATGCCATGAAGGCAAATATTCTGGGAGAAAAAAAACCAGGCCCTTTAAAATCTGAGCTTTGTTATCTGACTGAGGTCAACAGAGACAGACCAAATCAACAAGCATGACATGAAGGGCAAATTTGCAATTAAAAGAAGAATAGGGAATTATAAAGATGGATGAGCCCCATGACATGCACACCCAAGTCTGCGTGGCCTTGGCCTCAGATGCCAGAAATTAATGCTTTACTCTTTAGCACTCGTCACCTTTGGCTCTGAACAGAAAGGCAAATGCATTAAAATAACAACAATTAGAACACTTACTTAGCTTGGAAGGCATTGTTGGTTCCCCTGTGGTCAAGGTCATGACACAGGCATCCCACAATCACTGCTAAAATTTCCACCTCGGTCAGAATCTCTTGAAACCCTGCGGTCTGGGAAGAAGGGAAAATGGCACAGTCACTACTCGGGGCAGGGAGGATAGATAAGGTTCATCCTCTGAGCAACAGTCAGCTCTGTTTTCATACTCACATCATTTAGGGTAATGATTAACTGCCACCCCCTTCGATGACAGTCAGTTGGGTGGTCAGTTGCAGAGCCTAAGGTCCCCACAGTGATGAATTAGCTGGCTGTCATGGTGGCCCACCCTGGCACACCAGGACACAGTTCAGACTATTTTGTTCCCTTTTTAGAGAAGAGGCTGCACTATCCAGATACAGTGACAGTTTGGCAGCCGCCCAGAGCAAAATGTGTTTTGTAATTCTACATTGCAATGATGAGCATCTAGTGGTATGAGGAGAAAAGACGCCTTGAATTGAGAAGTGAATGCTATATCCATCAGTGGCCACTCAAAGGCAGGCAGGCAAAAGAAAACACCTTTCATATATACCTGTATATTAAAAGAAGCAACTTAGAGGTATCAGATTGCTACATGATAATATTCGAGAAGTTATCTTGTGACTACCTTCATACTAGCTTGGAAGACAGATTAAATTTATACAGATAATAAGGCAGGGTACGTCTTGAAAACTAGGATTTGGCAGATGATTAGGCAATGCAGATTGAGCATCAGGTGGAGTATTATTGCATGGAATCCTTTTTTTATTAGCCTATGGTAGCATGCTCGTGGGATGCATAGGCTGGATGTGAGATCTTTGGGGAGCAGCGTGATGTAATTACAGAACCAAGGTTGGCTGGTTCCTGAGGTCCTTTGGTTAGTTTAGAAGAGGAAGTGAGCCTCTGGAAACACAAGTCTATGCATTTTCTTGACCCAAAGCCTTTATGTTTTCCCCTTTTTACTTAGTTAAGTCTCCCATTTCATTACTTATGAAAATCTTTATCAGAGGGCAGGAGGAGGGGGAAAGTGGGGTTCGAATTGCTTCCTTTTTCATGTATGTTTTTTCCCCAAACCTTGGACCAATAGATAGTATCTGTAAGACACTCCTTTAGAGCAATGAAAACTTTGTTTTTTAATTAATTACGTTTAGCCCCCAGCAAAGCTGTGTGCGCCCCTTCATTTTAAAATTTGGAGTTGGCTGCTCATTTTAAGTTAATTTTATTTTACTTGGAGTATTACCTGAATAGTTATAAAACAAAAATCAAATCATGGTAAGAGGTTTCGAATCAAAAACAGTAGTCTCTCATCCTTTCCCCTTCCTGACTCCCAAAGGCACTTAATCTTTCCCTAATTTGATAGTTATTTCCTACCATATTTCTAGATAGTATGACCATATTATTAGCACTTGGTTATTCATCAAGTATGTATATAGTCCTCCCTCTGTGCCGACAATCCTAAGAGCTCTCCAACTGTTTCACTGACTTAGATCTCACTACTGCCCTGTGGTCCTAAGAACCACTGTTATCCCCAGGTACAGATGAAGGCATTGAGGCACAGAGAAGCTGGGTAATGTGCCCAAGGACTCACAGCTGGTACGTGGCAGAGGTGGGCAAGCTCCCAGCATCCAGGTGCCGGAGTTTACCCTTAAACACTGATGTCTTGTGACAGGTGAGAATGCTCTTCCCTTCCTCTATTCCCTCCCCTCACACTTACAATGCAATCCAGATCCACGCTCTCTATATAAATATTCACAACTAAGCCAACTAGTATCCAAGGTTTGTTTCCTTTCTGATGTAAATGTTTTTATTTCCCGGAGTTAAGATTTCTTTGAACATCGAAGTCTTCTCACATCCTACACAGCTCTCTAAAGGGTCACAGCATTTCCTCGATGGCTTCCTGTCCCGGGGACCCCCTGCAGTAGCCTGGTCCTGCTCTTTGGTCTGGATTCTCTGTGGGCCGTCAGCTTTCCTCTCCTAGGGGTGACCTCCAGGGTCCTGCACCCCATACCTCTCTCCTTCCTCAGTTCCTCCCTCATTTTGCAGGAGCACATCTGCCAGTGGCTTAATGAGAAAGGGTGTTAACTTTTCAACACTGGGGAGTGCATTAACTTTTGAGGCTTTGCATGATTGAAAATGTCTTTATTTCTCTATTCAGTTGTTAGCTTCCCCTACAATGCTAGCTTGCAACATTTCCACTCAGAATTTTGAAAGACTGCTCTATTGTTTTCTAACTTCTGAAGCTGTTTTTGAGAAGTATATCCAATTCTCATTCCTAACGAATCAGATGTTATTTGATTTTCTCTCTCTTAGAATCCTCTCTCTATCCCTGGGTTTTGGCAATTTCACAAAGATGTGCTTTGGTTTGGGACTTTCTCCCCCCATCGTTTTGCTTGGTGAGGCTTTTCAACCTGGAGGCTCATTTTCTTCAGCACATTGTTTTTGTAATCTTATATTTTAAAAAATAATTTCCTTTTCACTATTTTTTGGGTCCCATTTGAATGGAACTCCAATTGGTTGGACATTGGACTTCCTGTATTGATCTCTTTATAGTCTTGTCTCTTCTTTCCCATTGCTCATATTGACTTTTCCCTCTGAGTGTCCAGGAGTAATAATTTATAAGCATTTTCTTTTTTTTTTTTTAAAGATTTTATTTATTATTTATTTATTTGAGAGAGAGAGAGAGCGAGAGCATGAGAGGGAGGAGGGTCAGAGGGAGAAGCAGACTCCCCGCTGAGCAGGGAGCCCGATGTGGGACTTGATCCCGGGACTCCTGGATCATGACCTGAGCCGAAGGCAGTCGCTTAACCAACTGAGCCACCCAGGCGCCCTATAAGCATTTTCTTATCTGTTGCTCCTTTTCTCATAGCATGCTATTCTCTCATGGACGCATTTTCATCTCATCTTTTTGAAGATAATAATTATAATTCCTCTGAAATTCTCTTCTGCTCCTTGATTGCCTGTGTCCTCTGAGCCCTTTTTCTCTGTATTTGCTGGTTTCCCTCAAACGCCTGATACCCTTGAGCGTCTACTCATATAAGAGTAAAGCATTATAATGTTCACCACACACCAGCTCATGGGGGTGGTATCTGTAGATTGCTGGGCCTTACCACCAGGCAAGCAGAAGGCCAGCTGGCCTTTTGTTGGACATCCCTAAATGTCAGTATCTAAGCTCATTTTCTCTGGACTTGCCAATCTTTTGCTTGGAAATGGTGTAAACGTGGGTGTTGGCATTTTGAGAAAAGAGAACTGTATCTCCTCATCTTTGAGAATGTAGACTTTCACTTAATTCTCTCATTTTCAGGGTGTACCTCACCCTAACTTTTCTTTTGCTGGTGTCCCCAAGTCAGTTTAGTTTCTCCAGCAAATATCCTGGTTTCCTGCAGAGGTGAGGGGAAGAGTAGCCCTCTGAGCACATGGAGAAGGGGTGGAGACTTGGGGACTCAGTTTTCAGCACCTCCTCATGCTACTTCACCCCACTTTTTAAATTATCTGATGCCCCCGGTTCCTGAGCCTTGATAGATTCTGGGGAGATGTTTTTTTCTTTCTTTCTTTTTTTTTTTTTTAAAGATTTTATTTATTTATTTGAGAGAGAGAGAATGAGAGACAGAGAGGATGAGAGGGAGGAGGGTCAGAGGGAGAAGCAGACTCCCTGCCGAGCAGGGAGCCCGATGTGGGACTCGATCCCGGGACTCCAGGATCATGACCTGAGCCGAAGGCAGTCGCTTAACCAGCTGAGCCACCCAGGCTCCCTGGGGAGATGTTTCTCACGTGTACCACTTCCTCTATCCCCTCACCTTGAAGGCACTTGGGTTAGATCTTCCTTTTCTCTGCTAAGCTATGAGCCATGCTCTCTCCATTTTCTGCCTTCATATATTATGGTCCCATAATATATGGGATGTGTATCCATTTCTTGTTCTCCTTGCTTTTTGGGGGTGATTTTGAAAGGAAGGAGTATAAAAGTTTTTATCTGTCATCTCTGTCATCTTGAAACTTTGTTGGGTTTGGATCTTGCTAATAATAAGTAAATCCTGAAAGCCTATCAAATAGGAAATAATTATCCAGAATACTGTGGAAATCAGTGCTGTAATAAACAATAGAACCACACTAAAATTTACAGAGGTTCTGCCTGTGAAAATGTTATTGATTAGAATGAGCTGATGAATTAGAATGGTAAGAATAGGGATAATGTTAAAGTAAGGTAATTAGACTAGCAATTTAATTAGACTTGAAAGCGAATGCCTCTAACAGACACAAGATCAGAATCCTGAGTCATTTTTAAGCTATCAGTTATCACCCATTATATAATATGGTGGAATATATTTTACTATAATGTTCTATGCAGCCCATCTCCTCCCCCTGCCTCCCTCGCCCCTTCTTGGGAATCCATATGTAGGTCTTAAACTATTTAGATCATGGATACTTTTGAGAATTTGATAAAAATCATGCACCCTCTTCCCAGATATTATTCTATAAATTTATGGTGTTCAAAGACCATGGAGCCCACCTCTAGATCCTCAGAAGAAAGAGTCGCTGAAGTCCAGCCCACTCACAATCACGAACATATTTACCTCTCTCAACCATGATACCTGAATTACTGAAGCAGCACCTATCTCTTGACTGTGATTTAAAGCTGCCTGGTAAATAGTTTCTGAGAATCATCAGGCTTGAAAAGTGTCCAGCTGCCAGTAAGTGTCCATTTGCTCCTCCCCCCCCACATCCATCTTCCTTCGTGCCCTCTCCATTCAGACCTCCACTTACCCACGTTGAGGAGAAAAAGTCAACTGCCTGCTGAGGACAATATACTTTCAAAAGAGAACACAGTTGCCATGGAAAGTATATTTTAATGTATTTATCCCATGCCTGACTCTATTTTATTCTTTTATTTTCAAATATAGTTATATATTTTCTGTTCCTGACCCAATAATTATGGGTTTTATTGATCTTTACATTAATCTATTTTTTCACCTGTATTCCCTCACAGTCCATATAAAAAATGTAAAGCAGTAAATACAATATATATAAGCAAAGAGATAGTCAAGGCATATGGACCCAGTTCTCACATCACCCTTTCCAGAAAAGCCTATGACTACCCTCTGAG